CAGCGGCTTGAGTCGAAAGCTTGAGCCAGGGTTTCGAGGTTCGCAGAATTTGGAGGAAACCTCTGACCCAACTAGAGCCCCTAAGGGAACCTTGGGGTACAGGCGCGTAGGATAGGGCATCTGATGGGCAGTCTTGGGTTCAGCAGCTGGGAGTATTTTATTTCAAGGCTCGACGGTCTGCTCCATCTCAAACGAGAGTGTGGAGATAAAAAGGGAAAAGGGTCCCTGCCCAACCCCCTACGAAGCTTACCAATCACCAATCAGCCCCGAAAAAAACGGAAGCTCCTCCAACTTGAACCCGCAGACCGCAGACCCAGATCACCAAAATCGTGAACCCACTATAAAGCCTGAAAACCCCAGAGCATTCAGCACGAAAACACGTGCATATCCGGAGCCACTTAAAAATTCAGACCTTTACGCCCAAACTCTAAGCCCCTATATGACACCTGTATAACGCTCGGACTCTTTTGAAAACCGCAAAACACCCTAATCTCCGCATCCTAAACCCTAAACCCTAAAAACACTAGCACCAAAACCCTGAAGCCCTGGAAACCTAAAGCCCTAAAGCCCCTGAAACCCCACCCCACAATCCCTTGCACTACGCTTCCAAGCCACTCTCCGAGGTAGCTCCGCACTCCAAAGAGCTTGTAGGGATACAAATCATGCTGGTGCCTCTTCATTGGGCGGCTCGAAAGGGGTTAGGGTTTAGGGCTTAAGTTTAAGGTGCCTTTTAGGGGAGACTGTAGGGGTTGCGGGGTTAATTTTTTCAGAAGTACGCCCATACAGCACACTGAATGGTAGGATCCTTGTCACCGGGACGCAGGAAATGTGTTTAGGATTCGTGGTTTGGGGGCTTTGGGGTTGGTTTAGGGCTCCAGGGCTTCAGTGCGGGCAGGGATGGTGCTGATGATGCGTTTTGGGTCAACAGATCTATATGCTGTGAGCAGATCGTGCCAATTCACCTATGGCCCGGAGAGCACCAGGGAACTTTTAGTGGAGTCCAAAGTTCGACCCTGGTGATAAGTTACTCTAGCAGCAGATGTAGACCACTCCTACACGAGTTTGGCCGGCTGTAGAGTTGTAGATTTTGCCTTTATATGTGGTTGGCAAGCCTTTGTAGACTCGCAGGATCATCGACTGTAGTGAGCTAGAGTTTATAGACAGGTCTTGATGGTAGCAAAATTTGAGCTGGAATTAAGATTTTTCACCTCTTGACCTTAACACCACTGCCAAAGTCGATAACCTTGACCTCGAAACCCTAATTTCGCACCTCCTGCATGGCCCTGCGTCGGGAACCTGAACCCTGATCATTCGCGTCTGCTTCACTATGGGGCTTTTGGGAGATTCATGACGCAGTTGCTAGGGAACCCCGCGCGACAGTTGGCATGGCTGTTCCTGTGCACTTCAGAAGATGCTTCTGTGCAACTGAGGCACGCTCCGCTTGCCTGCAGGGATTTTGGACTCTTGGGCGTTGCTTGGGATATTGAAGGCTGTTGGGGTGTGAGGGAACTTTGAGCTTTGAAACAAGCACGCGCATATTTTTTGTGAGGTCAGACATGACAAGCTTAAGGAAGCCCCTGAACAATGCATTTGGCAACCTGAATCCCTTATATCCCTTGTGACAGCACCAGTTCAATCACCCAGCCAGACAAAAACCACTAAGTCACTAAGTAAGAGTCTGTCGTACGACCCGGCAAAGCCCGTGCAACTCTGAAGTCCAAAGCTTCCCTCACGTGGAACCCTGCTGTTTATCGAGATCTGTAACCCGAAATTTGCAAGCGTCTGAACCGAACTACCAAACCGCCACCCAGATTGAAAACAGCACCCAACACCTGAACAAAGTAAACCCTAAATCAAAGCCCCCAAAACCCTTCCCACCAGACAGCCTCAAAACCCGTAAACCCTCATAAATCCCTTCGAGGGGAACCCTTCCAGGGGAACCCTGCTAGGAGCCCTTCTCCTAGAGGAAACCTTCTAGGGCGACCCCAAACCCCTAGGTGCCAGATTGCCTCAGGCTCCTTGTCCTTGTCCTCCTCATCGGTCTGCGTGCGCGGCCGTCGGCCCAGGCCCAAGGCAGATTGGACCTTAACAGAAAACCCCCTTCAAGAAGGAACCTCGTTTAACATGGGGACCCTGTTGTAGAACCCCGGTATTTTCATATAGAGCCCTTATGGGAACCCCTTATAAAGGGGACCCCTATTGTAGAACCCCGGTATAGAACCCTGTTGCTGCTCAGGAAGGTCCTGAGCATTTGGGTTCTCGCTCATACCTGTAGCCATGTGAACTTGTTCGTGTCGCCCGAGAGGAATCTCAAGGGGTGGTGCTAGACGCCATGGGCTTACACAGGCACGGGATCGAATTTTCACTCACACAGCAGCTGTCTGACTGTCCTCTAGACTAGTCGGGTGCTATGTCTCTGACGAAGGTGCTTCATGCATGGGGCTCTGCCCCAACTCACTGTAAGCCGTCAAGGCTTGAAGAGACTGGCACATCTGTACTTCAGCA